GAGATGACGTTTGTTGAGGCCATGGAAGATGCCATAGCAAAACACGTGGATACAATATCTAAGATCAGTGACATTAAGGTTGTTTCTGGTAAGGAAGAGAATGATTTCGAAGAAGGGGTTGATGAAGATGAATCTAGAAACAAATCAAGCATGGAGGAAAATGCTGATGGTGGTGATGAAGATGATGAAAGTGGTGATGACCAAGGAATAGATTATAAGAGGAGAAAACAGCAAGCAAATGATGAAGTAGAATATGATGATGGTATTGAAAAAGAGAGCTTTGTTGCAGCAGGTGAACATGATGAAGAAACACAATCAGGATTTGAAAGTGAAATTGATCATCTTGAAGCAGATGAGGACTATCTCATGGGAGGGGGGAGTCCTGGCGTTGACATGGACCTTGCAACACCTGAGAGCCCATCAAAAGCTGACTCTACTCCCATCTCAGAAGATGACAAGAAAAAGTCAAAATCTGTGGAGAAAGGCAAGAAGGAAACTAAGTCGAAGGCCAAGAAGCCAAAACGTAGCAAGAAAAAGATCAGGAGAACAATATACGTGATGGCTGAAGGATTGAAATTTGAGGTTCACTACATCTTCAGAAGTGAACCACGAATTTTGCTAGCTGAGGTACTTTTCCTGCTAATAATAACTGAAAAAGCTTTATATGCTTGGACTTCTTCTTGCATATGGTTGTTTGTAGCAATGCATGCTTAATTTTCTATATCTATTTATTTCTGGATGAATAGTAGATATTTTCCCTTAACCCTATATTTCATGTATAGATAATACTACCTTGTGAAATGAATAATTTAGTCTTTAAGATGACGTACTAGAATCTGCTTAGGCAAACACTTTATTGGATTTAGACTGATCAATTTTTTTAATGCAGATTGCACAGAGAACAGCCAAGCGTGTCTATGTAAAGGAGTATAAGAACATTGAAAGGTGTTCGTTGAAAGAAAATAAAAAGAGTACTGATCCATTCATGCTCCAGATCGCTGGAGTGAATTTCAAGACACTTTGGGATTTGGAGGAATATTTAGATATCAATCACATATACTCGAATGATATACATGCAATGCTTAATACCTACGGTGTGGAAGCAGCACGAGCAACCATCATTCAGGAGGTTACAGATGTGTTTGGATTATATGGTATACAAGTAAATATCCGACACCTCAGCCTTATTGCAGATTTCATGACTTTTCATGGAGGGTATCGGCCCATGAACAGGGTCGGAATGGGTGATTTCAACACCTCACCATTTGGCAAGATGACATTTGAGACGGCGACTAAATTCATTGTTGAATCAGCTTTCCATGGAGAGGTGGACACGTTGGAGTCCCCGTCAGCTAGCGTCTCCCTTGGCCAGCCAGTGAAGATGGGAACTGGCTGTTTCGACTTGATGCAGAATCTGCAGCTGTGATAATTAAGCAAATTGGTCTTTATTCTTCTTTTTTTCTTGTATTTAGTGGGTCAAAATTCATTATATAGTATTATTGAGGGTTAGATTTTTGACGTTTAAGCCCTTGTATGTCTGCCGCTCATCTACCATGGTGAACCTTTGAATGAGTTGCTAATTGGCAAATGTGAGATTGAGATAACTCTTCTTTGGGTGTGATTGCTCCGCTATCTGCTTAATCTCTCCTTTCATCTCTTGATGCTGTGGGATGATCCTTATCTCGTTCATCTGCAGCTTTCTCATGGATCTGAAGTATTAGACTGGCATACAACTGCAAGTAGGCTTATGATTTCATGGAGAAAACAGTGTACTTAGTGAAGAATCCTTGTGTACTGGATATTTTTAATATTTATTTGCTTTACTTTCCCAAGGGAAAAACTAAAAAAAAAAAGAAGGGAGAAAAAAATGAGAAGAAATGAAGATCAAGTTCTGTGTTTAAAGATGTAAATAGAAATAATAGTAGTGATTTTTATATGGACAATTTTTCAAAAAATAACCAAAGTTATAAAATGAAAATATCCAAAGTTACGGTGAATTTTATATGGACAATTTTCCTAAAAATTACTTACATTTTGAATAATTTTTTAAATAGTACTTATAATTTTGTTTTTTCTATATAATACATCTAATTAAAAAAAAATATTTAAATTATCTCTCAATTTTTTTTTCTTCTGTTATCGTGTTTTGGTCTACTATATTTTTGACTTGTTTATAGTGTTTTGGTCATCACGACGAGAACACTGTAAGTGACTCCTAATTTAAATCAAATCAATTATAGATTTAAAAATATGATGTTAAGATGGTTTATGACAAACTAAAAAGACAGTATGATGTCACTTACTGTAATTTTTCAATAAAATATATAGTGTTTTTAATATCTTAATAAAAATAATATAAATGCTATTGAAAAATATTATAAACGAGCCAAATGAAAATATTTTAATAGTGTAAAATAGGTAAAAAAAAATAGATAAAAAAATTTTGAGGGATATTTTTAAAATTGTGGGATTATTTGAAAAAAAAAGAAAAATGGGGTACCGATTGGGAAATTCCCAAAATATGAGTATTTTTAAGAAAATAACCCTTTTTATATTTATTTTGTATTTAAATTTGACATACAAAAACCCAAAAAGTTTAATGATCTGGAAACTCTAATTAATGATAATACCTATTAAAATCTCCAAACCTCCTTCAAAACTTCATGTAATCTTTAACATATATATGTATATTCAAACTCAAAATGTTCAATCAAAGCTAAAGAAAGAAAAGAAAAGGACAATTGATATTTTGAAAGATAAAAGAAAAAAAAAATCAAAGGAAGAAAGATATTTTAGGTACTTATCTCTCCTATATTTTTTTGATATTTAAATTAGTCAATGATGAATATGGTTAATAATGGTTAATTGAAATTTATTGAAGACAGATATGGAAGTTGTATATACAGATGCTGCAAAAGTCCTGATAGAACACAGAAATCAAATATCTTCTGAGCTGATTGCCAACTACAAGTCCAAGAAAGTAACAAAGATCAGATGACATCCTCCCCCACTTCTCTCAATCTTCTTCAAATATATTCCATTGAAACTTTAGCTTGTACTAAACCTTCACCTCCAGAGAAGGATCAAGTTATCCTGCATTTGATCTGATCGAATACATGGGGTTCTTGACTCATGACCACATTGTAAATTGGACTGGCTGAAATCTTGTTTTTAGGAATGAGACTAGTTGTTGTAGCAGTGAGTTGTTCTAATATCTCTTGTTGCTGAAAAATGGTTGGACTGCCCTGATGAGATCATCACCTACAACCTCACACTCTAGTAGATCTCCAGCATTGAGCTTTCTTGCCCAGCAAATTGCCGTAAAATTGTAAGCATTTTTCTTTGATTTGGTTCATATCAGTGACTATGTTCCTCTGTCATCCATGATACCAAAAAATTTGTTTCTGTTTCTTCTGGCAATTGGCTGTATTCCATCAGCATATTTCTTTTAGAACACCATTCATTCTGGTCACAGACTTATTGTGAGTGTCATCAAATTGAGCTTTCAGACATGTAATTTCTTTCATGAGAATTGAGAATGTCCTGTGGTTCAATCTTCTCAAGCTGCTTCTAAGAAATTTGTGTATGTATAATTTGCCACTCCCATTCCTTTCTAGCAGTCTTTCAACAAGCCAGATTCATCAGTCCATTCATCGATATATCTGAAATGTGGCTGGCATTCTCTCTGCAACATTCAACAAATTCACAACAATGAGAGTTATGTTTACTGGTTATCTCATCTGGTATTTTGGGCTTCCTAGAAGTCTCAGCTTGTTCATTACACCATCTGTCTGAAATGAAACCCAGCATCCTGTAAACAGTGTCTGAAAGCAGCATATGTAGCTGCATTATACCCAACATCATCATCTTCCATGTCTTTAGGTTCAAGACAGTAGCAAACTCTTCTGACAGAATCCAGTGAAATGAGCAGTGAGAGATGATAGATCTGATGCTATCCCATAAAGCTCTCCCTCCTAACACTTCCCCTCAGAAGACCCTTGTTATCACATCTATTTAACCAAATGAAGAGGAATTTGGTGCCCAACACAATCATATTCTTCCTGGATGAGATTTACTGTAGCTATCTGTTCTGCTCCACTCTGCAAAACACATGAAGGATCAGATTGCAGATAAACTGCTGCACACTGATTTCCAGTAAAACCACCAACCATGAGTCACTCTGCAACATCCAAACTATTAATCTCCTCTTCTTTTCCCAGAGTCATTAAACTCTCTAACATTCCAAGACCCAAATTTTGCCATGCTGATTTAGGCCCACCTTCCAAAGCCCCTCCTCTGCCTCTCCCTTTGCTTTTGTTACTCCTTGGGATCAAACCAGACTTCCCTTCTTCTGCTTCATTAGTAATTGCCTGACTGAATAAAGCATTTTCCTTTTTCCAAAATATTAAACAGAGTCTGATAACTTTTTCTGATGTTTCATTTTTTTACTCAGTAACATTTTTTCCTTTATTCAGTAATTTAAAGTTGGGATAAGGTACATTGTGTTTAATGATATATGCTTCTTTCTTCTCTTTCTCTGTTTTTTTTTTAGGAAATTGATGGATAGATTGATCACCCCATCCATCTCTCATAGCAAATCCTACTCCAAATTTTATCTTTCCTTACTATAATATCTTATACAACTAAAACTTCTGGACAACTTAGTGTTTACCAGCAACCCTGACTTCACTGCCGGGATTTGCGCCACATCTCCCTCCTTTCTCCTGCTTATTGGTGTCTCTTTTCCTCTCACAAAATGTTGTATGAGCATGAGCATTACAGCTAAGAATCAGAATCCCCTTCTGCACAAGTATCCTTGTCACCATCTTTTGGCTTGAATGGGATAAAGAGGAAGCTATGATGAGTCTACTTCAAAAGAAAACACCATCTCCAAGTATCAAAGATCAAAGAGGGTGGAAGAAGCTGGTAGGCTATAAATAACAATGTGTACCTGTGAATGACACATTCACATCAGCTTAATGCTTTATATTTTGATGAAATGATATGTGAGTAGGAAAAAAAGTGGAACAAAAATTGTCTAATGGAGAGCTGTTTGCTCAACCTGAGATGGCCAGATATTTTCACAGCATAACACGTACAGAATCCCACCTGATAGAACATAAACAGGATTGCAATGCAAAGGCAGAAGCTCTAAAGGGATACAACAAAGTAAATCTGATGGATGTCTGAACACAGAGCAAGGGTGGTAAATCTGATGGATGTCTGAACACAGAGCAAGGGTGGCACAGAGAATCCATGTTAGATCCAAGCACTCTCAGACAAATCCCCCAGCCAAAAGACTGAAAGGAGAACAGAAAGCAAAAACTCCATCTTTCCCATGGCAGTATGATACTGAAGACTATACACTACACCACTTTCCTTTTCATCTCTTGAATATGTACATGTGGGGGGCCACGATCCGAGTCTTTCTTCCTACCTATCCCACTCTATCACACCACACAATCACCAGCCTCCAGCGTTAAGCCCCAACTCACATGAAGCCCACTCAGACAGCAATCTATGAAGCTAAATATATGTAACATGGAGTCGCAAGCTGTGTACAAAAGGGAGAAGGGGTTCCTTTTTATCGTGATGGTGGGTGGTGGACAGGTAAGTTCGAGTTTGAAGTGTTGTCCTCTGACTTTTGTGTTCACCTGTTGAATATTCTATGGTCTTCCGGAGGATGTGAGGCGAGGCGAGGCGAGGAGAGGAGAGGTTTACTTCCTGGAGCAGCGTCAGTTCAGTAAACCCCACCAGCTTCATCGTCCTCCTCGCTCTCCTAAGACGAGTTGCAGGACGGGTTCTGGAGAAGTTGGGGATGACGGCCGTGGGGAAGAGGTAACATGGACTGTGCCTGGCTCCCTGTATGCCACTCGTGTGGGCGCCAATCTATCGAGACTGGCGACTGCGGCTGGCGTGCGAGGAGCCAAGCATATCTCTCTCTCTCTCTCTCTCAAACATATTGCAAAGCTTTTCATCTTGTACAGCTTCTGGTTTCATGTAATTATGGTTTTGCGATCACGATGGACGGACTTTGCTTCACGCTCGACGATCAAAGAGAAGACGCAGAACACGCGTTGAAGCTTTGCTTACCGTCGCTTGTCTCCCTGTAATGTGTTTCGACTTGTAATTCTATTACTCTGGATGTGCATTCAAATGCAATCTTCTCAACCAACGATAACGACAGCATTCGTGCTCTTATCGCAGTGTCATGAAATATAACTTGAGAATTAGAAGCTTAGTTCACTGATATGTTTCATTCACCATCAAACATTGTCGATACAAATGGTTCGAGAATGTGGTAAGACCATTCGTTCTTCAATCTTCTTCTCTGTTGATAATTTTCTTGTTCCATAGACAACAAACTTTCTTGTTTTCTGCTACAGAAGGAATAATGCTGAAAGATGTATCATTGAAGCGTGCATAATAATAATGATAATGGTGACCTCTCTTCTCTCTCGCAGTCGGATTGATCTAAATGGAGTAGCTTTGAAGCAACCTTAGTAAGACTATGGATCAATTGCCATCAAGTGTAAGCTAAGCATGATAGGTGAACAGATAAAAGGGAGTAGATTAATGGGAAGACAAGACAAGACAAGTAGCCTAAAAGTCCCCAGCAAACATGACTATCATTGCTTTAGGTCAACCATACAAGGCTCAATTTTCTCTTGGAAATTGTACTTCACTTGGGTTGTAAGAAAAACAAGTAGACTTGTGGAAGAAGATTAATTTCTTACAATAAACATCTCATAAGACATCATAGCAAAAAGAAAGAAAAAACTCTAAAACACCATTCAAAGACAACTCCAAACAATGAACACCATAGACCTAAATGTCAGTCAATATTAGCCCAGGTGACTAAGTTAGATAGCAAGGATGCATCAGCTAATAAAAGTGGATTGTACCCATTCTCACTCCTATGGTCTCCCACAGGCAATTAATGTGTGTGTATACATACAGCACATGCCAATCTCTCATGGTTCTTCAGGGATTCAACCAAGTTGAAGTGGACAGTTCCTCAGGATCCAGTGGTCCATGGAGGAGCCTCTGCACTCAAATAGTATTGCCACTCCATGTTTGGACGAGTCATAACAAAATGCAGGGGCCACATTGAAAAGAATCCCAAGTTCCTTTTTATGCCCATCTTCACCTCACCAGCTCTCCTTTACAAGAGTTCCACTATGATAGGCACAAGGAGAAGAAGGATGTACAAGTGAATCCATGGATAGCCAAACCAATACAATATATCAAACTGGTGAAACCGCCTATTTGGTTTGGTTTGAGTTCTTCTGTCGACCAAATTACCTAAAGATTTTAGACAATCAACTAACTTAATAAGATGAAGTTCATATGACTTCGTTTGTTTTTTTGCGATTTAGATGTGATTCCATAAGTTCAAAAAAATTATTTGATCAAAGTGTTCAATCTAAGATGTTCGATTAGGATTTATGACCTGAGCGTATCATATGACTCGAATTGCGATGAGTTCTTCGACGCTCAAGTTAATCTTTATTCGAACTAAGTAACATAGATCGAGGAGGATTCAAAGTATTCGATCTAACTTATGATACTAAAAAAGGCCTTTAGTACCGCATCCGTATGTATAATAGAAGATAAAAAGCTTAAAAAGTGATGATCTTTGTATTAGAATAGAATTTCAGCAAAGAACATCTTCGATAATGTGCTGATATGGTAGACTTAGACTCCACCTGTGGAATCATGATTGACTGACAATAGTAACCATATCAAATGTAAATATTTATCCGTATGGCATATTTCAGACAAAAAATAATACTTGATATCAGTTCGTGCTTCACTTGGTTTGGATGTAAGGAAGTCGAACAAGTTGTGTCGAGAAATTGAATCGAGGAGCATCTTGCATGTCACGTATCTCACGTATCTCCAATTGCAGCACATTGAACTTGAAATCAACATGTTTACGGAGCAAACAGCAAAATGCTCAGAGAAGAACTCTAAGAATAATTACTGAAGGCAATTGGTGCACAAGAGTGGATTATTTGCGGAAACTTCGATATCCCTAAACTCGTTTCAGAGAGAAGCAGATGTACTCAGCTAATATATCAAAAATTTAAGACTCGAGTTTCTTAGATATCTCCTCAACCAAACTCACTCTGATAGCAAGCTGATTTTAGATAGAACCCATATATATTGCAGCAAATGGAAGAACAAATTTGTATCACAGTGCCAATCCACAAGGCCATACATCACTTTGCCTCAGGCATGATCAGCTGTAGAAGTGAAGGTCACTGACATGTTTGTCGTCATCATTGATGACACAGTCGATGCCTCCAGTGAAGTAGAAGCAGGGAACATGTTTACACTCATCTTCTGGTGTTTAATTTTCTGGTCCATGAAGTCTTCACTCACCTTTTGGTGTTTAATTTTCAGGTCCATGAAGTCTGATATTAACCCAGGCTTCATGATCTGCTCGCTGACATCCTTCTCGCCGATCAGCATCATGACGACAGCAGACATTGCGGGACGTAATTTTGGGTTGTCTTGTGTGCACAGAAGGCCAACTTTCAAGTACTTGCATGCCTCCTCAGCATCAAAATCATCATTCAGGGAAGTGTCTACTATCTGCTCCAGCTCTCCACGCTCGTATAGTGCCCATGTCTGCAAAGTTATTTGAAAAAAAAAACATTTAGAACAGCTCCTAGGTTTATGTCGGCCTGACTAATCATCTAGAATGATCATAAGAGAAGAAAAACCAATTGAAACTAGAAAAAAAATCAGTACTATTCAATCAGGAAAGATTGCAGTATCAGAATCCATATTCGAAAACCAGGGATGTTTAAGTAGTGCCAATATGGACAATTCAGCATGCCAGTTATCAGGGATTTGTGGTGGACCTTCCATCAATAGTATCAAATGCGTGAGCAAGAAAACAAGCTGCTTGCAGATATGAAACCAATACTCAAAACAGTTTGTAATATCTGAAGTTTGTGCAATGATTTCGGAAGATAATTGAACAGAAAAATGTTTTTCTGTTTATGTGTTTGCGGCTTGAATGAGGATATGAGAATTTATGCAGAAAAAATCACAGCATGCTTTGATCAGGACTTCTTATAAGGACCATTAGAGTCATGATATGATGAACCAACTTAAAAACACCAAGTGTTTATTTCAACATCAGAACATTTGCCACATCAAATGCAGTGATACAGTGTGATTTACTTGTAGTTCTCCAGGAAACACATGGAACTTCAGAACCATTAGAGTCATGATATGATGAACCAACTTAAAAACACCAAGTGTTTATTTCTACATCAGAACATTTGCCACATCAAATGCAGTGATACATTGTGATTTACTTGTAGTTCTCCAGGAAAACATGAAAATCCTTCGAAGAAGAAAAGAATATATGTATGTGCTCATGTAAAGAAATCAAGACAAGGAGAAAGGAAAAGTAAAGGACAAAAAGAAGAAGACACTATAAAAAAAACTTAACATCACAGATTAGATCATCCAAAACTATGAAGAAATGCACATTGATGGAAATAAAAAATGTTTTACCCTTTCAAGCAGAAGTTGATCTTCATATGGCAATCTTGTGTTTACATTAGATCTGCCACTGACTATTTCTAATAGAAGAACACCAAAGCTGTAAATATCTGCCCTCCTTGTCAATTGCCCCCTTAGAGCATATTCAGGTGCTAAGTAGCCTCTATAAAGCACATTGAAGTAAAAAATCAGGAAGAAGTGAAACTTGGTTGAAGAAAGCGAATTAAGAATAAAAAATATGCCATAAAAGGAACAAATAAAAAACTTATGGGCCTTATATGCCTTCCAATTAGCTTCAATCAATCATTCTCATGTCAGCTTATATGCAAAATAACCAAAATAGCATGTTTAACACAGATGATACTGCATCATTTCATTCTAGATGACGATGTTAGAAATTACATTACAATTAAAGATCAAAGGAAATAAAATTAAAGACTGGTAACATGAGTGCAATAGCCATAGTTAACAGAATAAGTCTAGGGATCTGAAACTCACACTGTCCCTGCAACCCTAGTACTGATATGGGTCATATTTGATGGCAAGAGCCTTGCCAAACCAAAGTCTGAAATCTTGGGAGTCAGATCCTTATCGAGAAGAACATTACTGGCTTTTATATCCCGATGAATAATATGAGGTTGAACTTCCTCATGTAGGAATGCAAGACCCCGAGCAACTCCAATGCATATCTTAGCTCTTATCCTCCAGGTGAATTGAATGTTACTGTAGCCCTTACCTAATAATTGGCAAGAACAAGTAAAATACTAAATTAAATTACTGTAGAAATCAGTACATTGCAAATCACATGACAAACGAAAGATTTAGAAAACTATTTCAAGGTTGAATATACCTAAAAGTGTTTGTGCAAGGCTGTTGTTCTCAACATAATTGTACACTAAGATTCTCTGATCTTGCTCAACACAGCAACCATAAATCTTAACCAGATTCTCATGAGCAATAGTGGATATGGCTTTAAGCTCATTCAAAAATTCTCGTACTCCTTGTTTTGACTCAGCGGAGAGCACTTTTATAGCGACAATCGAACCATCTTTAAGCTTCCCCTATAGAAGTCAATCAAGAACAGGATAAAATATTGTTCACTTATGCTGGTTGAAAATTATCAAGTGCAAGACACGCTAGTCACCTTGTATACATAACCAAAACCACCTTCACCGATTTTATTGCCAAGACTAAAATCTTCTGTTGCATGCCTTAATTCATTGTAAGAGTATATCTTTACATTTTCAATTTCTGCAAATTCTGAGATTAACACCAGTTCCATCAGTAATTGAGGAAGATGCAAAGTTTTTGTAATCAAATATCCGAGTAGTCAATGTATTTACCTTGATATTTTAGTTGCAGTCGTGAAGGACCTTTCTTTTTGAATAGAAAAGAAAAACAAGGCATGATCATTGAATTAAACCAAAGGTCGACCTTTTAATGTTGTATTGGTAAGGGATGAAGCGAGGAATCCTGTCAGGTTTGACCACAATGATGTAAAACATCATACAATACAAAAAATATCACAAAAGCTGCTGATTAACATTGAACTCCCAAAGCTAGTGCCATGACATTAGTTATTCCTAAATAACCCAAGTTCATCTAACCTGATGAATAATTTAAGATTATGCAAGTCCCAAACTAGTATTAGCAGGGCTTTGTTTATCAAATAAAATCCATGAGATCAAGCAATTCAGGTTAACTCAAGGTTACAGAATCTGGTGTTTCAAATAAACTAAATGACTATCCGAGGAACTTGTATCTTTAATTTTGTAACTTCCTATGAAAATGAAATAATGGTGCTGCTATGTAGTTTGTATCCCCCAAGTAATGAAAGTATACTAGACTACAAAAATTCTTCACTATGCTAATATTTGTCACTTAACATCATAAATAGACAGATAAATTTGCTTTCTAACATTACTATTGACATATGTAAAATACCTGTTGAGGCTGCAAGGATTGTGAACAACAAAAACAGATCTTATTTGGTTATTAAATAGAATGGATGACATCCAAGGAGATACAATCATCATCTCCACTCCATGGGACATTTAAAGGTTTCTTTTAGGATTTTAAATGCTGATGAGAAGTTTAACCAAGCAACACAATGGCAATCAGCAATGGAGGCTTTTCCAATCAATGGCATAGCAGATCTATAGGCATACAGTTTAGACTGCATGCAATTAACATCAAATCAGATATCAGACAAAACAAGGATATACAAGAGTGAAAGCAAAGTTATCTTGCCAGGCTTTTTAAAGGCATCAGATTTTTGGATTGAAGGGGATCCAGAAAAAGCAATCCAGTGGCCTTCATCTTTTGCCTCCACCAAACCTAGGACACATTTACTGGAAATATGTTTTCCTTCCTTCATAAGTCTTATTCTATTAAAGTTTTCTGCATATGCAGAGAAGCAAAATGGATCTATTGATTGGCTTTCTAAATTTGGCTTGCAGCATTAGTATTCAGATTTCTGAATTCCCTTGAAACCTGACTTCTCTTTTCACTGTCAACAATACAAAGGGTTACCAGGTCAAAATGGTAATCAAGACCCAGAAGGAAGATTTTCAATTCTGCAAACTGTATTCTGAAAGCCAATCAGTGAAATGTAATTATGCTGCCGAAAAAAACATTTGACTCAAACACTTACAAATCCACAAATTACACTTGATTCTGAGTATGTCAAGTTGAAACTCACGTTCTCATATCTGTAAGATGTTTTTTCTTAAGGAAATCTCACGATTTTCACATGAATACTGTCTATTATAACTTCGATAAGTTTTAAGGCAAGTGGCAGATGAAACCACATAAGCATCATTCTACTTCTTAGCATGATGACTTCACGTTAAACCTTCTAATCCACAATATACAAATATCAGTAATCATCAGGCACTGAAGTGAAACTAAGATGGAACAGCAGAGAAGCAGCACCAAACCATGGGGCAACAAAGCAGAGAGAAAGTTTAGCAAGCAAGAGAGGTAGAATCATTGATTCTAAGTGCAACAACAGATTAAAGAGCTCACATATGCTTATCCACTCTCGTTTGACTTTTAGTCTATAATTAATCAAGGGTGCCAAAATGATATTATTACAATCTCGCAGGATAACTCCCCACAAAAAGAAAGAAAGCAAAATAAACGAAAATAAGCAAAAGAAAAAATAAAATACTCAGTCTACCCTATTTGTTTTATTTCAAGCAACTTCCCAAGTTTATGATCTTTAGGAAAGGCATATCGCCGACTCAAAGATACTGAAAAGGGGAAGAAGCATAATCACAAATTAAATTCCATAAATCAAACCTAACAAGCATGTAGACTTGGGAAGGTGATCGATGACTAGACAGAACAGGATCTCTAAAATTTTCCCGGCATGTTAAACAAGAAAGAAAGTGTAACAGCACTGCAAATATGCAGCAACTCTGAGCCTATGTAGATGATCATCGATGTCCTTCACACTAAATCAAGTACAGGTTAGACTAAGAAAGCTGGAGTAGCAGGAAGAGATATGGAAAATCCAACAGCGGCCGCTTAAGAATTTGAGTAATAGAAAACCTCAAATAACGTACTCTGAACACCACAATCTTGTCTTGAAATCCAATCATCCTTCACCATCTCAAAATACGGGAAGAAGAAGAGAAACAAAAAAAATCTACGCGATACTGAACAAGAAATGGAAGGTGCAAATGCTAATCCCACCCTCGACCTAGTAAACTTAGAAATCCTGATGCGGAAGAACTAAACAGACACGAATCTTAGGAACGGAAATCGGAATTGCTGCAAGGAAGAGCAACGAGGGCGTAAAAGACGCACCTTTTTCTGAGGAACAGCAATCGAGATCCGTTCAACGGAAGCCCAAGAAACTGAGAGGAGCTCGTGATACTCCCCTCCTTTTCTCAACCCCTTTTTAATGTTCTACGAGCTGACGCATGCAACAGAGAGTTCTCCATGATACAGATCGTCACGGTCGAACTGATCCGTTAATTCAAGAAAATATGGCATAAAATACAACAAAAATTCAGACCTGCATTCGTCCTGCTGCCCTGCCATTGTACGTATGAAAGCTCTTGGTGCAGGTAACCTTTTGGTTTGCGTCAAGATTCATGTTCCCACCGTCCGATGCCGTTGACATGTTCCCCAACACAACCGGTAAGACACATGCGTCAGATCGTGATGTTGGGGCGTGTTGACTCATTCAAAGTCAGTGTCCCATTCTCACAGTAAACGATGAGATCGACCAGATCTTTCGTTAGGTGGCGAGGTCGTATCGTCTCCGAGACTGGAATTCCTGGTGTCATCTACCCTCGCGTATTTTGTTGACGTTGTTGAGGCCTTCCAAGATATCTCTCACTATGATTCTTCGATGTTCTTCTGTGTTCATGGTCAAAGAGCAATTCATTTTGTTGATGTTGTTGAGGCCTTCCAAGATATCTGTCACTATGATTCTTCGATGTTCTTTTGTGTTCATGGTCAAAGGGCAATTCATTTTGTTTTCCTTGGTTGACCAGTAATAGAAGATCCTTTAATTGTTTAATTGAGGGGGTTCAAGGATAGACAACAACATGAATACATACCAATATGAAAAGGTGTGAACAAAATAATCAGCTGATGAGGTCTACATGTATAAGCAGACAAACTTTAGGGCCTCAGTTGACAATCTAAAGACGCACAAAGGAAAGTCAACGGGCCACTGATCAGGCTTATTTATCTTATAGATGTCATGATCGTCGGCGATGCGATAATGATTTATTTATTTAGAAATCTAAATCAATATAATGATTTTATATATATATATGTGTTGATCGATAATTTTGATGATTTCGATAGAAACTCGAGCATAGAAATTTCTTCTACTATGATACAATATAATGATGTTCATTCAAATTCCTAACCAGTTTAGGTGGATAATGAACAAAGGTATTGATAAGGGTACTAATGGCGACATGACGTGCCACGACGTCAGTCACGCCTAGATGACGCTCTGCCCCAAAAGAGGGCAATAATACCGACGCGATGTGCGCTGACATCACCCACTCTCAAACAATGATCCCATCGTCGTCTGACCCGGCATGCTTGGCCGAGGCGGAGAAACACGACGACCGAGGTTCGCCCGCAGCAATTCGGTTCTCCACGCAACGCCAACGACCATGTCAGACGCCATCAAAGGTACGATCCTGTCCCCGTCGACAGGCCCGTTAGATAACCTCAAACTTACCTATAAATACCCCCGAGTCCTAAAGGAAAAAGGGGAGGGGACCGACACAAAAACCTTTCTTCATCTGAAATCCTCACTCCACATCACTAACTTGATCGTCGGAGGGGTCAGGCCGAACTTCCGACCCGACCTGTGTGCAGGTATGAGGAAGAAGCGCTCTCATCGGGCGCACAGGCGAAGAGCCCCTTCTCGGAGGAAACCGTCGAGTCCCACCTGTCCCGAGGAGCTCCTCCCCCGGGAGATTCCCTGTCATCCAGACCCGAACCAAGCCGCGTCGGCCCCGAGGCCACGGCTTAAAAGTGTTTACACTAACAGGTATGTGGTATTTGATGTCATCAGATCAGTCATACGAGATTAGGATGGGATGTTCACCATCTTTGGATCTCCCTATGATCGCATCCCAACCATCTGATTGCGTGATCATACTTATCGGGCAATCCACGAATCCGGTAAATTAGATTATGATTTTTGAGTCGTATATGTGTATCAGGTAATTTTTGGCGTATATTTATGTTACGTTAGAAAGTATATGTTTAATGTAACTCGAATAAATAAAAAGTATTTAATATTATAATTAATGTTAAAATTGATTTCAAATCGATACAAATTTAGTTCCCCCGTTCGTGTTGCCTACACCAACGAGCTGCTGCAGTAGCGACACGTCGGTCCCGATCGCAAGCCACTCATTCGCTTCTCTCTCGCTCTCTCTCTCTCTGTGCAGCTCGGTCGGTTGCGTTACCCGAAGCTTTGGGCCTGTCGGCGAGATCAGCGTGCAAACTTGGCGATCTCTTCCCTCTCGTCTCCAGGTGGACGCGCCACCATGAGTAGCGGAAGCCTCTCCAAGGTTGCCGTCATCGGCAGCGGAAGTAATTTGCGATAATTATTTAGATTTTGTTTCCGTTTTCTTGATTTCACCGACGACAACATGATCTGCCAGTCTCCGGAGCGGTCTGCGCGTCCATCCTGGCCGCCGGAGGCGTTTCGGTCACCGTGTTCGAGACCGGCCGGGGTGCCGGCGGGAGGATGTCTCAGAGGAGGTCTTTTTCTGGACTTTAGTGTTCTGTGTTGACTGCGGAAGCCTTTATGAGGAAGGTGGAATCTGCTAAGGGTGTGTGGTTGGTGTAGAGAGACCACGGAGGATGGGAGGGTGCTCTTCTTCGACCATGGGGCGCCGTACTTCTCGGTCAGTGACATGGAGGTGATGGGCGTCGTGAGATCCTGGGAAGCGCGTGGCCTCGTCTCTGAGTGGCAGGTGCCGTTCGGGTCTTTTGATCAGAGCACCGGCAAGTTCGTCGATTTCGAGAAGGTTAATCCGAAAACTTGTCGGAATTGCTTGGTCCTTGTTTGTACAGTGTTTTTAATTTTATTTTATTTTTCTTCGGTAATGCATGTGCACTGTTTGCTAAAATTTTTCCTTCAAGACTTCTATTGCAATTTATTGGATCTAAGGGAGCATTTAGTGCCAGCCAAAGGTAATTGTGCTCTTGCACATATAGAAGGTAATCATTTTTTGTGTGAAAAATGCTTTTGAAGAAATTACAGGTGCATGCATGGCTAAGAACATCAAGTTTGAAGAATTTGTGTATAAAGTATACGCAACTAACATTTTTAGTTTTTACAGAAACAGAGAAGAATCTGCACTCCAAATTTTTTTGGCAACTTAGTTGAGTGAAATGACATTATGCAAGAATGAACAATTTTGCAAGAAGAAATAAACATATTTTTTCCGACACTTGTACCAGAGCACTATAAATATAATCACAAGCTTTGTCAGAGATGTCTACAAGAAGGATTGCTTGGACTCTGTAAAGGCTAGTCAATTACAAGCATTCTGTTACAGGATATTGCAACTTAATTTTTTATTGAATAACTGAAAATTATGAGAACCAAAAAATGATTGGATGGAGTATAAATCATCCTTTGATGAGCTCATTTTCGAAACAGCAGCTGCATTTCTTAGCTTCTTATTTATTTGTCCTTTTGTATCTGCAAGACAAATGAACATGAATACACTTGTTTCAATACACTATGTTCAAATTTGGAGAGCTTATAATTGGAACCAACTTCTATAATTAACCTCAGTTGTCTCCTGCTCTTAGAGCCTGACATTCTGGATTGTCATGTTGGCCATGGTGTTTTGGCCTTTTACTCTATGTCCACAGGTAAGAAAGGAGGAGAAATTTCACTGTTGATAGAGATTTGAAATTTTGATTACTTGACAAATGAATACATTTCATTTTTCAACATAATATTAGTGAGGGATGTTTCCTTAAACTATGAAAGATCAGATGAAAAATTATGCAGGGCATACATAAGTTAGTTTCTTGTGGCTCATATTTTCACTACAACAAGTTATTTAAATTTACAATGAAAACTAACTTATTAGCATGCATTGGAAAGAGGATATTTTAATTTAAGTTGATTGAGTAGGTAAAACACATTATTGGATGACTTAGTCTTATGTTTGTGGTTTTATTAATTGTAATTCATGCAGTGTTTCTAAAGATCCAACCACTTATATCTAGGTAAAGAGATAAGATGCATTGCAAAGTGTACTGGACTCAATCTAACATTAAGTAAGAAGCTTCATCAGAGTTACACATTATAAAAGAGTGAAGAAAAAGACAATTTCATCAATAATTACTTCTAATGGTTGAGGTTTTGATTCAGTTATTGGTCCATGTATGATTTGTTGATCATTTCACATATGACTCATGTGCAATCTTTTCGGATCAAGACACTCTCAGATGATTATGATGCATCTGTTTTGCAGGTCTATTTTGTGACACACTATATAAGCTGCTGTAGTCCATGATCTTAGATTGTTGCATATAACTTGATTTATTGGTCCATTGCTATCTCATAAATTTAAGCATTGGGAGGCTGTGAGTCACATAGTTAGACTGTTCCAGACGATTTAACATGCCAGAATCCAGATTAATATCCTATATTCTAGAATTCTGTGTTGATGCATTTGTATTTGCAGATATCAAGAATTCCAGCTTAACATAGTTTTTGGAGGGAGAAAATTGTTTTACTCATGGGACAACGGAGTGTGTGTGTGATGCTGTAGCTTTACTTTTCTTATAGTTAATAATGTGTATGATTTTTAATCATTTGCTGACATAGAATGCATTATCTGTTTGGAAGCATCAAGAATGTATTATGTGCATATAGTCAAACTAGCTACCCAAACATTTTGCTATGGGCATATACACAGTCCACATAATAAGAACTAGATGATTTTTACACTTTCAGGAAGGAACAACTAAGAAGTATGTTGGAGTTCCAGGCATGAATTCAATGTGTAAAGCACTTTGCTCAGACCCTGGTTAGCCTTGCAGCTTAGGAACACTGCCTTTTGATTTATTGGATATGCTCCAGGTAATTTCTTTTTTGTTATCAAATTTACTTTTCAGGAGTCGAAGCCAAATATGGGATCACTGTTGGAAAAGTGGATTGGCTTTGTGATAGAAATTCGTGGTCACTGATTAGCGTGGATGGGCAAGATTTAGGTCAGTTTGATGGTGTGGTGGCATCAGACAAAAATGTAGTATCAGCAAGATTTACAGGAGTCACTGGAAGGCCACCACCTCTTGGTATGCTCTTGTTCTGATTCTAAGGTTCATATGTCTTAGAATACAATTTATCTTCCACTTGAAATTAACTACCTATTATATTTTTCTGTTTGATGTTATACATGTATTTGCTTTACCTTTATTTTATGAAAAATCTGTGGTACTTAATGTAATATGATTACATTGTAAGGGGTGATTGGTGCATCTTAGATATGATGTTTGAGAATTTGTTTGTCTTCTCACTAAGAAATAAATAAACAAATACTTATTCTGTTCACCACAAGCATATCCTACATCACCCAGATAACTGAATTATTATTTTTTATTAACCCATCAAACTTTATGTGCATACCATGTACCAAAAATCACTGTTAGTGTTGGCACCTTTGTTCAAATGATGAATCAATACCTTTTAAATGTGTATTTTATTTAATAAATATGCTGATTTAGTTTTTCTACTCCTGTATGATATTGTCAGATATAACATCATCTCCAGATTTGGCAATCCTTTCACAAGATATTCCTATTCGTGCATGTTTTGCTCTTATGTTGGCATTTTCTGAACCTTTATCTTGGGTAAGATTTTTTTCATTCACAATATAGTTCTCCATTTCATGAAAATATTCTGTTTTCATTTTTCAGTATTTAAATACCATTCTTGTTAGATAAATGTACAGTACTATCTGGGTGTGTTTTGCATATCAATTTTTGGCAATCAGTTTTGATCTTATTAGTATCAGATTACTATAATATATAGAGTTCCTTGTTTCTTCTTGCTATGTAATAATGAAGATTATTTGAGCCATCTAGGGTGTAATTCATCTTTTTCTAAATTTATAATCTACCATGATACTTTATCATACCTTGCAATGCGAATGGCTTTTGCATCAGATATGGGTGTGCTGTTTACAATCTTGCTTGTTTTTAGAAGTGTTTATCTTCTGTTACCTAAATGCTTCTTCAGGCAAGGGCCTTGATTTGTCATTTGGAGATCTGCTGTATGTTGCCTTCTCTATGATGATTGTACTTTATTGGAGCTATCTTTTGTCTGGTCTGTCTTACTTTATTTAATTTTTCCAGCTTATCTTTTAATTTATAATTGTATGTAAAGTTACATGGCTGATTGCAGTTTAGAAAGGTAGGTGAATTCTTGGTGAAATCCATGAATGACTTGAAATACCCAGAGATATCGAATTCCCCATATTTAGTGTAATTGGATATAGTATGGAAAATAGGACTTAGTATGTTCTTAAGATGCAGATGGTATAAAATTTATTTTAAGCACCTATATTAGTTAATCATAAAATCTGTTTCTGATAATTAGGATTATTTTGTTTATGAAGTGCCCTGTATTACTTGATTGATAAGTAAGCTGTTTATTTCCTTGTCTTTATATTGCAACATCATGTCCTCAATGCCATTGAATATCTTAGTTGTCATCAGAAAGAATTTCATGTGATTCTTTGCAATGGAAGGCTCTTTAAAGTTTATTTGTTGACCTTTCATCGCCCTGTCATTTATGGTTGTGGCCATTTTGCTGTCTGACCTGGTTGCCAACTCTCAGATTCCTTTAAAAGGTGTTTCATTCAAGAACTCCCAGGTTTTAAGCTGGGCTTATTGTGATAGTAGTAAGCCAGGCCGTTCTCATGCATCATCCAATTGGTAAGCTTGTATATGATTGATAATGCTGTCTCATAACCACTATTCCTTTTCTTCTTTCTGTTTCCGTATTAACTTTAGTCTTTCATATCTAGTGAGTGTTGGGTATTGCATTCAACAGCAGAGTATGCGCAGGCTGTAATAGCAAGAACTGGTCTCAAGAAACTTTCCAGTGATGCCTTGTCTAAGGTGGCAGAAGAATTATTGTGTGAATTTCAGGCTACGGGAATCAATATTCCTCGTCCATTTTTCATGAAAGCTCATAGATGGTTAGTACAAATGTTCAGGTGCCGGTCCTCATGCATCTAGCTTACTAGGGATTTAGGCAAGCCAAATATATAGCAGTTTTATATAAATAAATTTGTTGTTGCTCTCATGCATCTATTCATTCACTTACATAAAGTCGATATGAAATTCTACTGTCTGCATCAAGCTTGAACTTGAGTTTATATTTTGATGTGGTTACTTAATGGTCATGATATTATTTTTTCTGAATCATGTAATTGCTGCCATGTGTCCTACCTATGCATTTGTTGTTTAAGAATCAGTTCTCTTACTAGATGAAGTCACTGAGCATTCAACTTTGAACTCAGGGGCAGCGCCTTTCCAGCTATTGCTATTGGTGGGGACGAGAAATGTTTGTGGGACAAGAATAAGAGGTTGGCCATATGTGGAGATTTTTGTGCGAGCCCTAACGTCGAAGGTGCAGTGCTCAGTGGAATACGAGCAGCTTCTAAGATTCTGGAGAAATCGAGCAACTTGTGATGAGTGTGCTCGTGCTTGCCGATCCTTGGCCGAAAATTCAAGTTACATTCTAGCATTCTAATGTTCCTCGATGAACATCAGTTTTTCTTGGCTGATTTTTTATGGTAAATAAGTGATTCTTATGATATATACAGTCTTTGTTGCAACAAAATGTAGGGGTTTGTTTCAAGCTACTGGTATGAGTGCTAACCATATCAATATGAGATGTGTTTACAGGCTTTGAACTAAGCTGGAGATCTGTGAGTTTGGACAGTCGATTAATTATTTACAACACTAAATATTTGTAGTTAATATTCTATCTTGTCCTATATGATCCACTTGCAATTGCTTCTCTCTATGCGTCCTCTTCACACTGTTGATATTGTTTTAGCTACTGATCTTACAATTGCAAGTCATGTATTTATACACGTATTTTCTATGATTGACAGAGGTAATAAGTTTTTATATATCTGTTTAGACAAACTCAAACAGAATCTAAAAGGCAAATTTGATATTTTAGAGAATGACTAGAAAATTATACAATCTATATGCTGGATCAGTTTTTTTCGAAAATTTTAATCTGTATATATTATTAGAAATGGACAATAGTATTTGTTTTTCTAATGTCTAATCCTTTGATGATAAATCACTGTTCCTCACACACAAACAAAAAAAAAGAGAGAAAAAGAAAAACTAGATGGCAATATACTCGTCTAATCTTCTCCTGAAACGATGGTCTCAAACAGGTCAACGACATTTTTGGAGAAATGTTGACCAAAGATCTTGTAGTATCAGTAAATTACCATTAAACCCATCGTCGTATCGACATCAACTTCTTTGTTTCTGGCTGCGGCTGCTTCGTCTGTAGTGGTTGGAGACGCTCCGTGGGCCATGCGAGCCTCACAGGTGGAGCCCTTGCCCTCCCCTTGGGTACGCGTCGCGGGTACCAGAAGGACTCTTCTGGTATATAAATCAATAGGTCCATTATATGGGCCACATAAAGTATATGTACGTATCGTGCAATTTATATACGTATATAGTGGATCTCTTCTGGTCTTCCGGGGGTTGTCTTTCTCGGGCAATTCCAACCAAATCCTTCTCTTTCTCGATCGCCGGCGGATCTTCGCTGCGAGCCCATACCACCTTCTCTCTCGTTCTCCAGGTGCGCGACTCTGGAGCTCAAAATGGATTCGAGGTTCCTGGTTTCCACTTGGTCGTTTTTCTCCGCTCATCCGGAATTGGTCCCTGGCCCTTTGCGTTTGGGATTTTGTCGATTTTATTACGCCTTTTCTTTATTCCGTTTTTTTTTTCATCTGATAAGATATAAATCTTGAAACATCGAGAAAAATAGTCGAAAAAGATGTTTCTTTCGGGCTTTTTGGTGGGAGTTTTGGGATTTTGTCGCTGTCCGATGCGTTTTTACCTGATTACTCTTTCTTTTGTCTGTCGTCTGGCACAATTAGAAGACTCTTACTAGAAATCTGTACCTTGTCACGGCTTATTATATGTTTTATTTGCTAATTATTCATTGCTTTTACTAGTAAGGATTATGAGAAAGGAGTAGTGTTGGATGTAGTCTTCTATTTCATGCGTTTTTTATTCGACTGATGTCTAGGGCTTACTATTTCGATGATCTTCCATTGTTGAGATACAAAATAGAATTTATCTTTGATATTCTTTGATGTGAAGGCTTCAAGATGGGCTTAAAGCTGCAATCATTAAGGAATTTTGATGCATTTCCTCGTGCTGAAGAGCACCTTCTACAGAAGACACGATCTGGAGCTGTTGGTAAGTCTTTCCTTCTTATTCTTTCATTTCTATGATTTGCAATACCGTAGCAATTGTATGGGTTAACCGTTTTCTCTTGTCGTGCTAGTTTCATACAACACTTTTAAATTCAGGCTCGTTTTATGATTTTCGTTCTGTTTACTAACAGTTTCCATCATCGGCCTCATCATAATGGCAACCTTGTTTGTTCATGAGCTGAAGTATTACCTCACTACCTATACTGTGCATCAGGTTTGTAATTATTTCCTTTATGGTTCGTGTTTAGGGTGTGCTTTACAGGCTTTTCCTGTAAGTTTGGATTTTTTAACTTTGTGTGGCACACAACTGCAGTCTAGAGTTAGTATAACTGCAGGCTCTTCCATTCTTTGGCAATTGAGTTAGGAAACTCTGTTGTACTTCCAGTTCCTGTGGGAAACTATAACATATGAATTATTCTTTATCAACATGTTATCTTGATTTTACTTGACAAGTTATTTCAGTTTGCCAAATCACTTGAATTTTCATTACAAGCTTTAGCTTTTTTTGGACTTTATTTGCTACTAGCTACATTTGTATTTATTTGGGGAAATCTATTTGTCATCTTCAAAGTACTATAGTATTATTAATCCAAAAACTTGACTATCCCATGTACCCTTGCAAGCTTAGGAACCCTTGGTTTGTCCCTGATGATATGACACATTAAGACCTTTTTTTTGCCCCATAAAGCAGCCCCATTGAGTTGTATTGTGAGGAACCAGCATTGCTGATTTGTAAATGAAATATGGGCCCTAACAGGTCCCAATATATCTAACATTAGGGGCACAAAATGGCGTTTATTAGGTTTTCAGGGTTGTCTAGGATATTCACTTTTTTGAAAGGATAAATAAAATATTTTGACATTTGATTGGGCAAGTGAGAAAATTTTCAGAAAATTTCTCTATCTATATATAATCATGTGAATGTACAAACTCTTGCACATGCATATATTCCTGAATACAAGGTTTGTGTTACCGCAACATACCACTCGGTATGGGTGGTACATACTGGTTTGACGAGGGATCGGTATGGCGGTACATACTAGTTTGTCGGTATGCCCTATTGTACTATGTATTAGTATGTCGATACAGTTTGATATGTACCATACTGATAGTCGGTCAATACACTGTATGGACCGATAAGACGAACCATGCCTGAATATGCCTTAATTAAATTACTTTAGTGAAAGAAATTATTATGGATAAAAAGTTAGCAATGTTGCTATGCCTTTCTTGGTGCAGACAGATGCTTGGATCATTGCAAAGGCTTGGATCAAAAATTTAAGTCTCGGTCAGATACTGATTATGGCAACCAGTTAGGCTGATATGGTAATAGTAAATTGGATGGTATAGACCTAACCTATATACTTTGTTGCTGGTCCTTGGTAAATGCAATTTAGCACACTGATTAAGATTAAAATGCCCTACTTTCCTTTGTATTACAGAAAGTTGTTACAGAAAGTTGCATGACCTTTTGCATATCTATCTCGAGCAAATTGAATTCATGTGTTTGCAAACAATAGTCCATGATTATTTGAATCTTTTGATATAATATTGCAGAACTTTACTGCATGACTATGTTGCTTACAAGATGCAGACTTTGTGATCTTGACCCAAGATTCTGTGTCTTTAACAATATCACTTTCTACCTGCAGATGTCTGTAGATGTAAAGCGAGGAGAAACTCTTCCAATTCACATAAATATGACATTCCCTTCACTACCTTGTGAAGGTGAGTCATGTATTTTTCTAAATTTGTCTCAAAAGGCATGTTATATCATCTTCCTGCATTTATGACTCATGCAACTTTGCAGTTTTAAGTGTGGACGCCATTGACATGTCAGGCAAACATGAGGTTGACTTGCATACAAACATTTGGAAGGTAAAAATATTGTCCTTTCACCTATTGCTTCCTTATGCATTGAAGTTTAATTTTATGTTGTACCTATTTTGATAATTCTCTCGTTGTATGTTTACTTCCTACACATTTTCCTTGACCGAACTGTGAAATAGACTTCTGCCTTGATCTAAATTGGACCTAAAGTCATAAGATTGAATTCTGCCCATTTAAACTTCAAGTTTAATATGTAATCAGAACTCAGAATCTGAAATCTCCCTAATTGCAGTTACTTGTGGTTGTAGTATGCTAGCATTTATGTAGAGGCAATTTAACCAGTTGCTATGTCTGGGCATCTAACAACATTGCCAAATGTATAGCATTTATTAATGTAAAGACCATCAAGTCTCTACATCTATTATAAGTTTTTGGTCTGTCCTTAATATGAGAGGCACCTAACATATAAGGCTTATTAAAACATATTTTCTCTTCACTATAGGATCTTCAACTAGGAACAAATATCTTCTGGGAGTATTGGTTGCTGTGATGCTTGGTGTTGGATTATCTTTTAAGTGGAATCCTTGATTTGTAGCTATGGGCTTCTCATTACAGTTCTCAGACCTTAGGATTTCTGTTTTGTAATAAGTATTTAGCATAAATTCTGTGATCTTCATGCCAACTAGTTGCAACTGTGAACTTCAATGACATCTCAACATGAAAATTTGTAGTTCCTAGCTTTCTCAGTATGACCTACCCACAATGGCATAAAAAGTGGAGTGTAAATGATAATATATAGAAATAAGGGGGCCAATATTGTGAAAATTTGTTGTCTTGTGCAAACTTACCCTACATCAGAAGATGGTGAAGGTTGGTGTCCCTAAAAGGGCAACCCATTGCATGAGGTATCCACCAATGGCGTAAGCAAGTAAAAAGACATATTTGAAAAATTATGTTGCTCAAGATATAAAATTAATTGGAAATATGTATCTATTGTTTGTAGAATTTTGGCTATGAAGAGTATCTAAAATGCGGCACAGATAGTTGTGTAGCTTGTAAACTTCAGGTGGGTAGTTTTGCGTGCACCTTAGTTGAATTTGCTTGCTTTCTTATTTTTCTTAATGGTCAAACCTTGGTTGAACACCTAGGCAACCAAAATCAATGTGTTGGTTGAGTTAGAAAATCAGTTTGAACTGACTATGAAGGTCATCTAAGATTGGTGGGTCAGGTAGCCACTGGCTAGTAACTAATTCTTATCCATCAACTCCATACTTAAAGGACCATCTTACTAGTAAAATAATCTAAGATTGGTGGGTCAGGTAGTTACTGGCTAGTAACTAATTCTTATCCATCAACTCCATACTTAAAGGACCATCTTGCTGGTAAAATAATCTGTGTTTGCCCTAATTTTGAAAGACAATTTAAATAAGTGAAAATGGCAGTATGTATAGGGAAAAACTTAAGACGGCAGTTTGTACAGAGATAAGGGTACGTTTACAATTCCTTCAGGACTTGAAGACCGTGACATCTGTGATTGGAGATGGCAGAATGGTTGTGGTTCTTTGTACATATGCATTAGTATCTAACTCCCTTCCCACTTAATACTAGAAGAAGGGTTTGGATCAAGGTTTGATGTACCACCAGAAACACTATAAAACGGCCTATCAGTCTGCCAGTTGACCAATACACGAACCCGTTTTGAGCGGTACACTGAAATATGGCCCTGTATCAATCGATTTGAAGTATGTATCGGTCAAAACTTGTATTGTATCAATCGATACGAGTCAGTGCCTATCGGAATTTGATCGATATTGACCTAAATCCGGTCTCGTTTGACCCCAATAGTCAAATTGACCATTGCGGCCTCTTTTAGGGCTTTAAATCATCCTCCCTCCCCACCTTTCATTCACTCTCTCATTCTCACTCTTTCTCAGACTCTTACATGTGATTAAAGTTTTCCTAATCGGTTGAGTCAAGATCAACGGAAGCAACTTCCTCCCATGCAATAAAGTTGTTCCTCAATGGATCGGAAAAAAAAAAAAATCAAGTTTTCCTCCTTATAACCTATTCATTTATGGCTTTGATACACTTTATTCTTATCTAAATACAATTTATATACCAATAGTTAGGAAAAAACCTAAAAAACTGATTTTTTCTGTGGCCTTTTTTCGAAAACCAGTATGTACCGGCATACCAGCACAAGGTGCATTGGTACCGACTGGTATTTACCAAGCTGGCCAGTGACTGATACCACTGACAGCACAGCACAGCGGTTCCTTCGTTTGGATAGTTTACTCCTTATTTTTATTTGCTGTAGTTGTGACTTGGGGGAGAGAAAAAAGGTAAAGAAACCGTGGAGTTGGCAGTATGTATCTTCATCTTGAAATAATCTGGTGCTAGCAGAGCAAGTAGATCAAAGTGGTTGATAGCTTCTGACACTCCTCCCCGCCCCCCCCCACCCGCCCCCTGCGGCCCAACTCTCTTTTTTTTTGTTCTTCCTTGTCTTCCTTTTTTTTTAATTTCTTAATTCTTATTGTTGCAAAACTGATTTTTTTTCTTTGCCTGGGGCCTTTTTTCTTGTTTTGAAGTTTCCCATGTTTTCATGTCATCCCTCTTGTTTTTTTTTTTATTTGTCTGGTTTTTGCTTTGGTGGCTCTCATATGGCTCCCCAATACTTAAGGTACAGGCAGTTCTTTGTCTGTCTGTCTTCTGTTTTGCATCTTATAGGACATATTGGTTACCTTCCAATTTAAACGTTAAGGGTGGAAAAGCCTAGGGTTGAATGGTTATGGAATTGCATGTTCTATTAATATTTTCCTTCCTTTAATTTTATTGAAGAAAAACAGAGGGCCCTTATTCTATTTTTCCCTTTAAGTTACATATAACGATTTCTTTTTTTGGGGATTCTTCTTTCCTATGTTAAGTCTTGCTGTTTTCTGAAATGATCTGCCATATATTCAATGAGGTGACAAATTTAAGCTATCTCATGAGCTTACTGTGCTTTAAATTTCTCTCATAATAAATTCAAAATGTCTATCAGAAAGGCTTCTCACCATTCAACATTTATTGTGCAGACCATTTAGGGTATACACGTGAGAAAAGAAAATCATTGATTAAATTATTTCGTTTAATTTTTTGAACTAGTTAACTCTACTTTTGGAGCACTTCTACAATTATCACTGGCATTTATTAATTTTCTTTTTTTTTTTTAATTGCAGCTTCGTTTGACTCGAGAAGGTCACATTACTGGCACTGAGTACCTATCTGATCTTGTCGAAAAGGAGCACTCAGCTCACAAGCATGGTAATATCACTTCTGCTTCTTTCTGTTGAAATGGTTTTATCTTTATTTATGCATGATAATCTGACAATCATACTCCAGGATCATGTGACTTTAAAATATGTTACCATATGGGTTCCTAGTGGCTATATTTGGCTGTCTTTGACCAAACAGTTAAAGCTGGAGAGGCAAAGGAATTTGTTAACTTGATACCTGTTTAGGTATTTGTGCATATATCACATAAAGACTACTATTGTCTAGTTTCACATATTGACCATGGGCAAATTAGCACTATGATTTTCTTGTCATGATATTGTCAAGTTTCACATCAATGGTATGCTTATAAGTTTTATTGAGAGCTGCTATTAATGAGAGCACTTGATAAACGGTGTAAATCAAGTAGGTCTAGGACTAAATATATGAATTGTGACTTTAAAAGTACTGAAAGAGAAATCAAGGATATAGTCAAAATTGATGGATGTTAAGTTTATAGAAGCTTTTGAATATCTCGGGTTGTATATTAGCAGGAAAAATAGGCAAATAAAGATATAATTCATTAAGTTAAGACTCGATGTCTAAAATAGAGAATGGAGTTAATTTGTATTTTGTGATTGTTATGTTTTCTTAAATTAAAAAGAAAATGTTATAGTACAGTTTTAAGACTTTCTATGCTTTATAAATTAGAACTTTGGGTGGTTAGGAGACAACATATTCTCTTAAATTAAAAAGTAAATGCTATAGTACAGTTTTAAGACTTGCTATGCCTTATGAATTAGAATGTTGTGCAGTTAGGAAACAACATATACCTGAGGCAAGGATGTTGAGATACACAAATGTAGAGAGCTATAAGAAAAGAGAAAAGAGAAAAGAGAATAGAATTTTCTTTTTACATTCGTGAATAATTAGGGAAATTTCGAAATGAGGAAAAACCATTTGAGGTAGTACACTTATGTCCAAAGGGGATCTAGATGTATCAGTTAAATGAAGCAGATTAACTAAAGTGGTCTTAAGAAGAACCAAGGAATTTTTGTGAAAGTTTTTTCTTTTCTATTGGCTAGTCATATTATGCTCAGTTGATGGAAAAGGTCTATCTGCCGTACAACTAACAAGTACATTTCATCTACCTTCAAATAATTGGTAGTTGTAAAAATTTCAGATCACTACTTTTATTTAATTCTTCCTTTTATCATTTAGATCATTTTTAGTTCCCTGTATTGTTAAATGCAGTCATTTTTATTACCATGTACTTTGTATGTAGTTTATTTCTGGTGAATTACTAAGCATGTAAATATGTTTATAAACCTAGCACATAGCATACATGATTAGTCACAATCTTGAAGTACAATTCATGAAGCTACCCTTAAATGATCTCTTTCTTTTCATCCTGCTTTTATATTCTTGATTCTCTCTAGCAAATGGTTAACAAGATTGTTTCAGGTTGTAGCTCTAAACTATATGCAATTATGCATATGCTTCCAGTTTCCATAGTGCTTCTGTAGTCTTCTTAGACAACATTTGTCTAGTGCAAAAGAAAATTCTAATTGGATTTTTTATTTCAAAGAAGTAGAAGCACTTATTTGTCAGAAGTCATCTGAACAGGTGATAGCAATGACCATCATGAAGATCCCACCAAAAACGAAAATGAACAAGGGTTCGGCCCAGATGCTGTGACAATGATTAAGAATGTAAAGCATGCAATGGAAAATGGTGAAGGATGCCGAGTATGCTATTTTTTTGCTCTATATAATGCCTTTTTTTCCATCTTGATATTTTAAATTTTCATATACACCATTTCTGACCAACTTGCTAGTGGATTCACACAGGTATTTGGGGTTTTAGATGTGCAAAGGGTTGCTGGTAATTTTCATGTTTCAGTTCATGGGTTAAATTTCTTTGTTGCCCAACAGGTGAGTTGTTTAAAACCATAAGTGCTAATTGAAGTATTCCTTCAATTTGAATTCAAAAGTACTGATTTGGTTACTCATCATGTATTTTATAGGAATAATTGGATATTATGATTCCATCATCTGCTCAGCATGCTAGTACCTTCAATTTATGCATTTGAAACATCTCATTGAGAGACCTCTAGAAGCTAAACTTTGTCTTTCTGTTTTCTCTTTTGATCTTGTTTTTAATTTAAAGTGCCTGAAGACTAATGGGAAATAGAATTTGTTGCTTTCTGTTTATATTTCTGGAAAGGACCATGGTTGTGAAAATTACTCACTCGCCATTAGTTTACGTCCTGAATTTAAAACTTGAGTGCCTATCAAAGGTAAGCTTCACCTTGGGGAAGCTATGAAGGTTGTTCTTTAAGAAGTCAAAGCATTTGATTTCTTCACACTCTATGCTATGTAGCAGCTTCTTTGTAATTGGGTTTGGTTTTATCTAGTAATGCATGAGCTGTCATTGGTGTGGCATCACATGTATCACATGATAGATCACTTAATTGTTGATGGATGTACTTTAACTGCATGCTGTTATCACATGATAGATCACAACATTTTAAGTTGTTTGTTTAATGTATGTTCTCAAATCACTATTCCTTTTTTCATTCTGATTGTAATACTACTATCATCTTTCTAATTAACAGTTTTTTGGTAGATCTTTGATGGAGCAAAAAATGTAAATGTCAGTCATGTGATTCATGATTTGTCATTTGGTCCAAAGTATCCAGGAATTCACAATCCACTTGATGGAACTACCAGGATCCTACATGACACTAGTGGTACTTTCAAGTACTATATCAAGGTGCTTTTTGATTTTTCACCTTACAAGTTAACAGTAGTAGCTTATTTTGAACTTTTGCTTAGTAAACAAAGTTCTGATTTCCTACAGCCCAAAATTAGCTAGATTATTTTTAGTTTTTGATATATATTTCTGATCATTGTTGATTTATTATAGATATATTGAAGGAAGTGCATACTAGCCATAGTGAAGATGATTATGGTAGCTATTTATTTACACGAGTAACATGGTGAAATGTTGACATTTGGTGTTTAATGTGAACAAAGTATTGCCATGGAATAAACTATGTTAGACTTCTGTAATGAACTTTCCCAATTTGAGTAAGAGCAAACGTCATCCAATCCATCAATTAGAAGGCTAAACTGCAAAATAAATTAATTTTAATGGAGTAAAATATGAAATATCATTTAACAGAACTTTGGTTTATAATCTCTCAGAGAAAATATAGGGAATGTGAGAGAAACGATAATCTCACCAACCAACTAGCAGATGCCCTCTAACTCTTAAATTTATGGTTTCTAATAGCGATATAACTTTTTTAGTCTATATATATCCATAATTTTACATGTAGAGTTAAAAAAAGAACTATCTTGGCAAAATAAATTAGCTACTAAAAACAATGATGAAAATTAATCTAAAAATAAGAAAGTGAAATTTTATTATATAATTATTAGGAGTTGGTGAGGAGGTCCTGTTAGCCTTTGTTTTCCTAAGTTGTGTCCAACAGCGGTTTAAGAAGTTTGTTTCCTCTCCTGTTCTTATTAGGATAGAACCTGGATGGGCATCTTTTCTTTCTCTTAAATTATGTTGGAGTCCTTTGACAGATGGATTACTATACCAAGCTAAATAGAATTCATATCATGCTGGATTCAACTCTTTTGCACAGGGTCGATGCATAATGAGTTTCACCAAGCTATCCGAAGCTGAAAAATGCTGAATTGACCCTTATGTGGAATCTTTTGATGGTCTAGAGTCTAATCTAGGGCAAGTAGGATTTGTTTATGCCCTGGGCTGACGGGAGAGGGTCCTGGTTCGGACCATATAGGAATAAAACTAAGATTCTTCAACTTCAATATGGAATATATTCTTTTCGAGCAGAACTGACAAGTTTGAATTGATCAAATTCAAGTCACCTTTTGATTTGCCACAACATTCTAATTTCAAGTCATCTTTTGATTTATGACAACATGTTTACTTCATATAATATCAAATTTCCAATTCTCCTAACTAATCTTTGTGAATCAGAAAGGGGATAATATCATTGATCATGTAAATCTTGACTTTTTAAGGCCTTAAGAACTTTCTAATTGTTTCTTGCGTTGAGCACCTGTTTCTTCTTGTTGTCTCAAATTCTTTTACTTGATTTTTAGGTCACCAAAATAATGTATTTTAAGATAGAATTACTAGTTTTTCTTTTTCTTTTTGAGAAACTAATGTTTATTGTGATGCAGATTGTTCCAACAGAATATAGATATCTTTCTCATAGAGTAATGCCTACAAATCAATTTTCTGTCACAGAATATTTTGTTCCCACCCGTGCGATTGATAGGTCCTGGCCAGGTTGGCATTTCCATTGTTGTTAAAAAATTTTGTACTTTTTTTTGAGATTTTTTATCTTTACTTACTGTAATTTCCTATGATGCAGCTGTTTACTTCTTGTATGATCTTTCACCTATCATTGTGACAATTAAGGAAGAGCGCCGAAGTTTTCTGCATTTCATCACACGTCTCTGTGCTGTACTTGGTGGTACATTTGCTTTGACAGGTTATTATCTCTATCTATTATGACTGAAAATATACTTTGCACATTTGAAAGTTTGTCAATTACTTGTACATCGCTGTATTGTTTTATAGCCTTTATAACATGGCCCTGACAAAAAATTGTTTGCTTATAGCATCCAGCATGTAGAGAGCTTGGTGTATGTCCTAGGGAACTGCGCTCCTTTAGGTTATATACAGGGATCAAAGATGAATCTGGCCAGTGTATTATTCTGTAATTGAGATGATTCTTCAATAAATAATCTGGAAAATGAATGAGCTTAAATTGGAATAAATGAGATTTGTGAGAAGATTATAGAAGATTTGCAATTATAACAAAACTACTGATTAATGGGAGTTATAATTTGAAAAAGAAGGCAGTTACAACCATTTCTTTGAGACAAGGGTAATGTATGGTTATATCTCTGTGTATCTTGTGGTTGATCATTTTAGTTGTGAAAGATCAAAAATGAAATCCTGTTTATATAGTATGAGAATATCTCAATTAAATAGTAAGAGAGATCTTTCTTTTCCTAAATAGAGCTAGCACTAATGCATGGCAAACCTACAGTCTTCACTAATCGGATATTAATTTATTTTGCCATCAATTTCAGGAAATGTCAAGGAAACAGCCATTTTTCTTTTGTGTTCTTTTGAAAATTTTCCCCTCATATTTCTGTTTTCTTATTGCTTGGAAAATGTCTATCAAATGAAAAGTAGAAAGGTAGAATTGCAATTGTACCTTTGTCAATGGAAATTGCAATTGTTTTCTTATATGTTGAAAAAAAAAATCAGGTTACATTCTTAGTTACCTGTTTCTATAACTTTCTTTTGTGTGTGCACATTCTTGGTTTTGATGCCACCACACATAATAGCTCTGTTCGAGATTGATCCCTTACTGCTTGTTGAATGTGAACTTAAATAAAATTCTATTCCCATTCTTTAAAGCTGACATTTTTTACTATGATTCTGCAGGAATGCTTGATCGGTGGATGTACAGAATAATCGAGGCCTTCACAAAGTCAAAGACCGGAAGCATTTTTCGGTGATGAAGAACAACTCGGTGAGATCAGAAGCTCAGTGATGCATATCTTGGGGGACCAATCTTGTTGTAATTTGTTGCAAAGAACTAAAGAAGTATCATGATTCGTCGCCGCCTCTTTGTACGGTGGATTAGTGTTTTGATGAAATATCTCTTTGTAACTTCGACTAGGGATTAATCTGACCTTTCTCCTGAGTTCTACATAATCAAGAATACCCCTTTTCTTTTTGTACAATTCAGCAGACCTCAATTGATGTTTGATGTTAATACTGACTCTGAATTCCAGGAACTTTGAAACTGGATTTGCCTGATAGCATTTTGCATTGGCCTTGGTATGCTCTGCTGTTGTTCACAGTCCAATCAACCACTGTGGTTAAAATCCTATTCACCAACCAATGCCAAAAGGGGTCTGATAAGCTTGAAATTTGTATCTTTGAAGATTGTCTATGCAGGACTCCAGGTAAATGTTTATATTTGGGGTTTCTCATCTACAGTTCTGTAACTATTCATTGATGTTAGTACTGGATATGAATAATACATTCATTGGTTCAACAAAATGCAGCAGATAAGAGGACATCGAGAGTTAATTCTCTTTATGGGTTATCGGTACTATGGCCGCCGGTGGTGGCGGAAGGAACGGACGACGGAATATAGCTCAAGAACAGTCATTTAGCCTTCATGGTTGCTACAAGGATGAACAAAAGAATACAACCTGGATAAGAAGGAACAGAGAGAACAAATCTTCTCTCAAGAATACATCAAGAAGTAGAATCCAGCTCTTCATCCTCACCTACAAGGACTAGGTGGCGTGCATGGGGTGATAAGGATAAACTTGATGACGGGAACCAACAGGTCCACTCATCTCTGATCAGTGCTCTTCAGCCTTGGCCTTCTTGGTATCCCACCCCATCAATGCTTTCTGGTTCTGTGCAAGCTTCCTCTTCTCCCTCGACAATGCGCGGGAGGCTGAACGATACATCTGCAGCATATCTCGCCTGGCTTGTCGGCGATGAATTCAGATCTCCCTTCTGCACATGAGCTTCATGCAGCTGCAACACATTCTCGAGGTGCCACAAGACCTCCCCCATCGTCGGCCGGTTCTTCCCCTCATCAGCAAGGCATTTCTCGGCGATATCCGCAAACTTCTTCAGTGACTCTGATGAGTAGTTCCCTTCCAGGCGAGGATCCATGATTCTTTCCAGCGATTTCTGCCGCTGCCAATGCAGTGCCCACTCCGCCAGATTGATCTGCTCCCTTGGCAAGCTTGGATTTATGACTGGCCTGGCACAGAGGACTTCGAATAGCACCACACCGAAGGAGTAGACGTCTGATTTCTGCGTCAACTGCTGCCGCCGGAAGTACTCTGGATCGAGGTACCCGAAGCTTCCCTTCACGGCAGTACTGACGTGCGTATGATCGAATGCCGGACCGTCTTTGGACAGCCCGAAGTCTGCCATTTTCGCTACGAAGTTCTCATCCAGCAATATGTTGGTGGTCTTGACATCCCTGTGGATTATACCCCCCTCTGCTCCTGTGTGAAGATAGTGAAGTCCTCGCGCAGCTCCGATGCACGCATGCAGCCGCTGCTTCCAGGTGAGTGGTGGGAGGTCACTCCCGAAGAGGTGGCTTCTGAGAGTCCCATTGGCCATGTACTCGTATACCAAGATCATCTCATTCTGCTCGTCACAGTATCCGATCATCGAAACCAGGTGCCGATGGCGTAGCTTCGAGAGCATCTCGATCTCGGTTTCGAATTCCTTCAGTCCCTGCTCAGATTGTGGGTTGGCCCTTTTGATCGCCACTGTCATCCCCTCGTCCATCTCACCCTTGTACACCTTCCCGAAACCTCCTGTTCCGATCACCAACGTGTCGTCGAAGTTTCTAGTTGCAGCTCTGATTTCTGCTATGGTGAACCTTCTTTCGATCCTGTTAGAGGCCGTCGATCCGATCTTGTTCGAAGGCGACTTCGATGCCCAGGCGTTTGTTGTGCTTCCCATGGTCCCGTGGAGGGAGAGCGGGCGCCAAACGGGACTCCTCTTCGCCGGAGGTGGCTTCTTCCTGCGAGTGCGGTAACGCACGAAGGCAGCAAACAACAGCAATACGGTAATCGTCATACCGGCACCGGCACCGATGGCCGTCCACAGAATCTTGTTCTTCGGCTTTTGATCCAGCAAGCCTCCCTGGACGGTGTTGATTCTCTCAGGAGCATGAGCTAGATTCGCACTCCGGCTGAGCTTGAAGATCTCCACGCCACTGAGGAGAGCATCAGTACCCGAAGCACTCGTGAGCGAGTCCGGTCCCAGCTGAAGCCAGAGTGTGTCCACCTTCTGTGAGATGGCATCGACGTAGTCCTCGTGGTAGGCTTTGTTCTTCCCCCCTGCTTGCTTGAAGACATCGTAGTTCTCAGCCGCGGTCTTGTTGTTTATGTAGACTCTGAAGATTCTCTGGTTTGGCTTGTCATAGACGAGCTCACAGAAGTGCAGCCTGATCAGGTAATCGAAGTTGGGATCCACGTCGAACTTCCACGACACGTTGAATCTCTTCTCCACGACTTGGTTGTCCGTCATCGTTCTTGCCGTCTCGTAGACCAGTATGGGAGCGATGGAGGAGTCGTTGATCGACGCGTAGCTCACGTTCGAAGTGTTGCTGATGCTGTATGCAGCATTGACAGAGAACATGAATCTTTCGTCGGAATCCCACTTCCTCCACAGATCATGGTCTTCGCCGGAACTGATCTCAGGGCCTCCCACATTCAACCTGTACATGGTCTCCATCCCGCGATCGCTCAGACTCGAAGGGACCTTTAAGCCATTGCTGCCCACTCTATTCGCAGTCTCAGCGAACAACCTGTCAAGGATCGGGATAACCTCGACAGCACTGATGAACGCAAACGACCCAGATTCGGGGACGAACTCAATCTTGAGCTGGTTCAGACTAACACTAAGCAAGTACTCTTTCACCAGAGAAGTGATGTTCGACTTGCTCCTCGTGTTCTTCCAGTAAATCTCTCCAGGGACATTGAACTTGGAAACCAGCTTTAGGTCGTTGGCCGTCACATCGAACGAGGAGTCATTGACATTGAAACCATCGAAAGAGAAGGGGAAGAAGTGGAACCTGATGCAGTAGTTCCCTGGGAGCACCGTGAAGTTGTAGCTCGATGAGGTGTTAAAGATCCGAGCAGTCCTGTACAGAGCTCCATAGACTGGTTCTCCGCTGACCGCCGCGGTAGCCGAAGCAGTGATTCCAGAAGAGCTTAACGTGAAATTTTCGCCAGGAAAGGAATCCCCAATCCACTGTCTACCGTTCACAGTGATGGTAGAATTACAACCACAGTCGATCAGAATGGGTTTCGCCGCAGTTTGCGCAGATGCTGCACAGAGGGATGCTAGTAATACGAGGAGCAGGCCACAGAACCTCATTCTTCGGATCACAGCTCCTTGTATCAAGAACCTTGACTGCCTTGAGGAGATCAATAAACAGATAGCATTGATGCTGAAATGCTCAGATCTTCAGAATTGGCCATCAGCATTGTCTTGACAGAGACATCCGGCCCTTACAATGTAGAGAACACAGAAGAACTCAGGTTTCTTCACAGAAATCTTTCCTTGTGAGGACTAAAGGAAAGGAAAGGAAGGGAAACCCAAGAAAACTGCAGAAAGGAGACATCTTGGATCCAAAGACCAGATCTTTACTTCACTCCCATCTGGTGATGGCAAGGACAACAAAATCTACAAAAAGGCTTCAGCGAAGCACTCTACAGAGCAGGATCGGGTACCAAAGTTTCTTCACAGAGATCCTCCCTCCCGAGAAAAACTGTAAAAAAGGAAATATCTTGGATCCAAAGAAGAGATATTTTCTTCACCTCAACGAGGTGACGGGAAGGACCAGTCAGAGAGCAGCAGTGGTGGTGGGGGTTCCGCAAAATGGCTTCTCTTTTGCAAGGAAAGGCAAGCGGCTGGCTGTGAGGGAAAAAGGTTGCTGTTGCTGTCGTTTGTGGAGTGAAGCACTTGACCAGAGCAGAGGCAGAGCCAAAGAAACCAAAACAAGAGGCCTTCGCTGCCAACCTACCACTGTTCAATGTGGCCGTGGGGGATGAACGAGATGAGAGAGGTGGAGGGGGTGGGGGTGGGGTTCATATTGGTCAGTCAAGGCGAGGAAGCTACAGTGATTGGGGGATGCGGCCACATGGTGTTGTCTCTGGGTAGATGAACAGTACCACTATTGTTTCCAACACCCTCACCTGCAGCTGTCCCACCCTGTTTCGATGACAAGCCATGGTCATCATCATCATCTTCTTCTTCTTCTTCTTCTCTCTCTCTCCTTTTCCCAATTTCCTTTTTATTTTTGTTTTATGAATTGCATTTGGATGTGTACTTGTCCTAATCAGTCATTTGCACTGTTCTTGGAATCTGTACAAACAATAATAAGATACATGACGGTGGGATGAACCCGGAGACAATCCATTACGCAAAATTTGCGGTGTCTGTTCCAGCTCGCGTACTGTCCTCCCAATAATTAATATGCTGTCGAGATCACAGAACCCGACCGGGGTACAGATTCCGGGTTTCCTCACCACCGGATGAGTTTGAAGCGAACCCAGCGTCACACGGTCGACGTTGTTAAGATTCGTGCAGCATCTACCAACTCCGTGTTTGTTATTTCCTCTAGATCTTCTCCTGTGCACATAATCTACTGTTAGGATTAGTACTATATTGGACGTGTAGCCGTACAGGCAATAGAATTCTTGCTCGTCCGTGTCGTAGTCCGGTCTCGAGTCACACAGTGATTGGGATACTCGCGTGTGCGAGAGAGAGAGAGAGAGAGCTTTAAACTGTTGGGCCGTATTTTGTTGGGCTATCGACAATGCCGAGTCTTGTAGAAATGAGAGAGACAAAATTTAGCATCATTGAACATATCATCTAATTCTATCATTACGATCACATTTCCTGGAAATTAATTAGTCTGACATTACGACGCATGTATTACTCATATAAAATTCAACACTTAGATATCACCTTCTCCTCACTGTCCATTGTTCGCTGGACTCCCTTCCTCCAGTCTCTTCACAGGCGCGGCAACTTCGGCGGCCTTGGCCGTGTCGTAGGATGCATGGAGGCCGAAGAAGAAGTAGTAGATTAGCAGTAGGCCCGTCCAGATGCCGAACCGCATGTATGACCTGCCGTCGATCGACCCGAGCAAGAATATGTTAATGGCGATCGAGGCCGACGGTAGCCA